GCAAAACCTGCTGCTTTAACTGCTGCAACGGGTATGGATGCTTTAACTCATGCTGTAGAAGCTTATGTTTCAACTGCTGCGAACCCAATTACAGATGCATGTGCAGAAAAAGCCATTTCAATGATTAGTGAATGGTTAAGCCCTGCTGTTGCCAATGGCGAAAATCTTGAAGCACGTGATGCAATGGCATATGCACAATATTTAGCAGGTATGGCATTTAACAATGCGTCTTTAGGTTATGTACATGCAATGGCTCATCAATTAGGTGGCTTCTATAACCTTCCACACGGCGTATGTAACGCAATTCTATTACCGCATGTGTGTGAGTTTAACTTAATTGCCTGCCCAGACCGTTATGCAAAAATTGCCCAATTAATGGGTGTCAATACTGAGGGTTTAACCGTTACTGAGGCTGCCTTTGCTGCGATTGATGCAATTCGTGAGTTATCATCATCTATTGGTATCCCTTCTGGCTTAGCTGAACTGGGTGTCAAAGCGGAAGATCATGCAGTGATGACATCAAATGCGCAAAAAGATGCCTGTATGTTGACCAATCCACGTAAAGCAACTGATGCTCAAGTCATTAAAATTTTTGAATCAGCAATGTAAAAACGATCCCCTTTGGTTCTACTCAGCCTGACAACTGTTTTAGGCCAAATACAATGAAGTATGCTTGATACTCAGGAATATTACTTTGGTAGTATTCCTTTTTTATACGCTTATCAAAAAATGACAATCATTATTGTCAGATATATTGATAAAGTCACAATCTATGACTATGATGCTTAAAACATCAGCGGATTATTTCAGCAATGACAACAACAAGTAAAACCATCATCATCACGGGTGCAAACACTGGAATCGGGCTTGCAACTGCAGAAACATTTATTAAGGATGGTCACCATGTGATCATTGCTTGTCGTAATCCTGAAAAAGCAAAAACAGCACAACAACACTTAGAGTCATTCGGTACAGGTCAAGTAGACGTGATTCGCCTTGATTTAAATAGTCTTGAACAAATTAACCAAGCAGCCAATGAAATTATTGCCAAATATGAAAAAATTGATGTATTAGTCAACAATGCTGGCATGATGACACCTGATCTTGAGGCCACAGCTGATGGTTTTGAAAAACAGTTTGGGGTAAATTATCTTGGGCCTTTTCTTTGGACATTGAAACTTCTTCCATTGGTTCAAAAAGCCCAACAAGGTCGTGTAATTCATTTGGCTTCAATGATGCATCTTTTAGGTTGTATCCAACCTGAAAACTTTAACGCGGATCAAGTGAAAAAATACAACGGTGTTTTGAGCTATGGCAATAGTAAATTAGCCAATCTGCTGTTTAGTAATATCCTCGCCAAACAACTACATGGAAGTCATGTCACCAGCAATGCATTACATCCAGGTGGCGTAGATTCTGAGATTTATCGTGAATTACCCAAATGGCAATATGCAATAATTAAACTTGGCCTTATTCCACCATCTAAGCCTGCCGAATTAATTAAAAAAATTGCTTTTGATCCATCATGGGAAAAGCGCAATGGTGATTATGTGAGTTTGCAAACCCCTGCATTTAAATCAGGCAAAGCCAAAGATATACAGTTGGCACAAAAACTATATGATGAATCCTGTGCGCTGGTAAAAGACTATCTGTAATTTTTCGGATTTCATTTTTCAATAAATTCAGGAATATGCTATGACCACTCAATCTACTGAATATCAACCTGATATCCTTGGTACAGGTTATGAAAAACTAACCTTAAACTTAGCAGATGACTATGATGGTAAAGTCATTGCAACTTTGGTACGCAAACAAGCAGCTCAAGCGACCAAGAAAGCGGTGCTCTATATCCATGGTTTTATCGATTATTTCTTTCAAACAGAAATGGCTGAACAATTTAATCAACATGATTATGATTTTTATGCACTTGATTTAAGAAAATATGGTCGTTCTTATTTACCACATCAAAAATATTATTATGTTTTAAATTTGAATGAATATGATGAAGAAATCACGCAAGCATTAAAGATTATTGGTCAGGAAGGCCACACTGAGGTGTTACTGGCAGGACATTCTACAGGTGGATTGATCGCAACATTATATGCAGCACATTATCCACAACATCCCCTTATTCAAGCCTTATGGTGCAATAGTCCTTTTTATGACTTTAATATGCCTGCTTGGAAGAAAAAATTAGCCCTACCCAAACTCAGCGCACTGGGTAAACGCTTACCTAATTTAAAGTTTCCAAGTGAATTAAATAAATGGTATGTCACCAGTCTGCATAAAGATTTGCAAGGCGAATGGGATTTCAGCTTAGAGTGGAAAAAACCAACTTACCCCAAAGTATATTTAAGCTTTGTGTATGCAATTTTTGAAGCGCAAAAAGAAATTCATGCAGGCGTACAGATCAATGTACCAACCTTGGTGATGCATTCTCACAAAACAACCTATCCTAAGAAATTTAACCGAGATGCTCAAAGCACTGATGTTATTTTAGAGGTCAAAGACATCATCAGGGATGCAGGTAAAATACAGGGCGATGTTAATGTCATGACCATTCAAAATGGACTACATGACTTGGTTTTATCGGCACCAGAAGTCAGAAAAGAAGTTTATCATCAACTTTTTTCCTGGTTAGCCCAAAAACAGCTTTAAAGGCTCAAATCCATTTTTCTTTGCAAGCGAATGATCAGTTAAAAGTATCCTGCAAAATCAATGTTCATCTTTATATTTCATTAGAATTTGATGAGCAGGATGCCCGACTGGTGTAAGTTCAATCAGACGTTCAACGGCATCAATCGCCTCTGGAAAATGTGCAAGGTGTTTTAATAAAGCATCTGTTTCATTGGCTTTAAAAATCGCTTCACTCAGGCGTGATTCAAGGCAGTCTCGCCATGCCGATAAAAAAGGACTTTCAGTTTTAGCTAAAAATACACCTTTGCATAATTTTAAAGCGGATTCGGTATAGCCTGCATCTAAAGCATTCTCTGCTTGCAAGAAATCTGCTTCAACATGTGCCAATAAACGATAAGGCCGTGAACCCAGCATGCCACCCAAGATATCGCGCAATTGCGACATTTCAGCTTTTAATGTGCCGACACTCACTTTTCGTTCACCATACAGCGCTTGATGTAAATTTTCCAGATTCATCCCTTGTGGACACAACGCAAGAATAGTCAAAATTTCAATTTGTCGTGGTGTCAGTACCACGATCTTGCCATTGAACAACACTTGTGGCACAGCAAAAGCCCGGATAAATAAATGTTGTTGCTGAAACTCTAGCAATGCCGATTGAATAATTGAGGCACATCGCTCAGCCGCCAATAATCCCAAACTATTGTGATGATTCCATGTGGTTGAAAGATCAATTACCCCTAAAACTTGTTTGGAATATGGATCTATAATTGGAGAGGCATAACAAACCCAGTCATGCACCGAAGACATAAAATGCTCGTTGGAAAACACACAACTGGATTGTTGGGTTTTTAATGACAGTGCCAAAGCATTGGTTCCCACCAAATCTTCTCGCCATTGCCCACCAGCAATAAAATGAACACGTTCTGCGGCATTGCGCATTTGCCCACTTGCGGCTGACCAGATAATGGTACTGCCAATATCCCCTACTGCAGCAACCATTGCCGACTGTTCTGCGATATGGGTTAATTCATCACGACAATGTTCGATTGCTTTTTCTAACAGTGTTTTTCTTTCTTGTTTTACATTCATCAAGGGTGCAGCATCACGATCTTTGGGAATCGCAGCTGAATTGGAACGTTGCCATGAACTTGCAATACTCTGCCCGAGTTGATCAGCATGTTTTAAAGACAAACTACTACTTTGGCGTAATTGCTCAATTAAACTCCGTTTATTTGATAACTCTTGTTGGCTTAACATACGCTACTTCCTCTGTAATTCGTTAAAAAATATCCTATCCTTTCTCTGTTGTTTTTATCCAGCGGACCTGCCTATAAATTACTCTAGCACATTAACACAGTGAGCTTAACCTCAGTCAACACAACTCATACCAAAGCGTTAGAATAAAACCAATTTTTTCCAATATTTAGCAATTTTTCAATAAACAAGAAAATATTGCCAAAGATTAAAGCATAGCGCAAATATGTCTTGGATTTCATCCAACCTTTTCCCTACCTTTGACTCTCTATGCTCAAACCATCATGTAAACAATCATTGTTCATACATGCCATATTAAACACATCATGAATGATCATGAATATAAGTAAAGGGATACTCTTATGCGTTATGTAGATCCAAATCAGCCTGGTTCAAAAGTACAGTTCAAAGCCCAATATGAAAACTTTATTGATGGCAAATGGGTAGCACCTGTTAAAGGGCAATATTTTGATAATGTCTCTCCTGTAGATGGTAAAGCCTTTACCAAAATTCCACGTTCTTCTGCGGAAGATATCGAACTTGCATTAGATGCAGCACATAAAGCCAAAGCTTCATGGAACAAAGCATCTCCAACAACACGTTCAAATGTACTGCTGAAAATTGCAGATCGTTTAGAAGAAAATTTAGAATTACTGGCGGTTGCAGAAACATGGGAAAACGGTAAACCAATTCGTGAAACATTGGCGGCCGATATTCCTTTAGCAATTGACCATTTCCGTTATTTTGCAGGTTGTTTACGTGCACAAGAAGGTGGTATCTCAGAAATTGATGAAGATACCATTGCTTACCACTTCCATGAGCCTTTAGGTGTGGTTGGTCAGATCATTCCATGGAACTTCCCTATTCTTATGGCAGCATGGAAACTTGCACCAGCACTTGCAGCGGGTAACTGTATTGTACTTAAACCTGCTGAACAAACACCATCAAGTATTTTAGTTGTTGCTGAACTCATTCAAGATATTTTACCGCCAGGCGTTTTAAATATTGTCAATGGTTACGGCGTTGAAGTGGGTCGCCCACTGGCTACCAATCCACGTATTGCTAAAATTGCATTTACAGGATCAACTGCTGTTGGTCAAATGATCATGCAATATGCAACTGAAAATATTATTCCTGTGACACTTGAGCTTGGTGGTAAATCACCAAACATCTTCTTTGAAGATGTCATGGATAAAGATGATGACTATTTAGACAAAGCGCTTGAAGGCTTTGCCATGTTCGCTTTAAACCAAGGTGAAGTATGTACTTGCCCATCACGTGCCTTGGTTCAAGAAAGTATTGCCGATAAATTCCTAGAAATGGCAGTTGAACGTGTAAAACGCATTAAAACGGGACATCCTCTAGACACTGACACCATGATTGGTGCTCAGGCATCTCAAGAGCAACAAGACAAAATCTTGGGTTGTATTGCAACAGGTCGTGCTGAAGGTGCTCAACTGCTTACAGGCGGTGGTGATCGTCAGGAAGTCGGTCAAGGTTTCTATATTGAACCTACCATTTTCAAAGGCGACAACAGTATGAAGATTTTCCAAGAAGAAATTTTTGGACCAGTGCTCTCTGTCGCAACATTTAAAGATTATGACGATGCGATCCGAATTGCCAATGATACGATGTATGGCTTAGGTGCTGGTGTATGGTCGCGTTCTGCGCATACCTCTTATCGTGCGGGTCGTGCGATTGAAGCTGGTCGTGTATGGACCAACTGCTACCATATCTACCCTGCACATGCTGCATTCGGTGGTTATAAGAAATCAGGTATTGGCCGTGAAAACCACAAGATGATGCTCGATCATTATCAACAAACCAAGAATTTATTGGTTAGCTATTCAACCAAAGCAATGGGCTTCTTCTAAGTTCTATAGTTGATTTACACTTTAAAAAAGCGAACTTCAGTTCGCTTTTTTTTGGTCATGATTAAGATGCTTTTTAATCCTTATAACTGTCAATTCATTCATTATTTTATACAGATTGCGATGATTCGCTAAATTTAGTCGTTTGTTAGATTCATCCAAACATCTTCATAGCCATACTTATCAATAATGACATGATAACCGTGCTCAAGCGCTAAATAAGGTAAAATTTCAGGTAAATATTGCTGTAAATGCGAGGCATGCAGCGGTTGATAAAAATCATCAGCTGAAGAATATTCTCCACAGTGAATAAACCAAGAAACATTGTCTTGTTTTTGTAGCGCAACTCGAACTGCATAAATCGGTTGTTGACCTAGACTCTGTAATGCAATTGCAACCCTATCCGCCAGATTAAATTCGATATATTTTGACTCATATTTTTTGCAGATTTGCCGTTGTAATGTTTCTAAATCCATCAACACATTCCTTTATTTCCTGTTTAGTATTGTCTGTTTAGTTGAATAAACCAATACGTTCGTTCATGCTGTGCTTATACTCGTCTTTTATTCTTCTGCGGAACGCTCACGATAAAATGCTAAACCATTTGTGCAATATCAATAAATGCCTGTGTAATTGGACTCATCTGTTTTTTATTCTTCACTGCCAGACTAATAGACCGCTTAATATTCGGTGATAAAGGTAATTTTTGAACATTGGGAAACAGTGTCATCAACTCTTTATTCAAGGCCATATCTGCGACAATTGAAACACCAGCACCATTGTTCACCATATTAATAATGGTCAAAATTTGAGAAAAATAACATTTAATTTTTGGACTCAAATTGGCTTTTCTAAACATCTCTGTCACATGGTTTTGACTGCCTGCTGAGGTCATTAAAAAAGGATGTTCTACCAATTCATCCAATCGAACTGCACTTTGTTGTGATCGTGTATAGGACTTAGGAATAAGTGCTACAAAGATATCCTCAATCACAGGAAAAGTATCAAAGCGTTCTTCAGGTAAAACCACAAATCCAACATCAATAGTACGATCATGAATCCATTGAGTAATATCTTTGTCCGTTCCTTCTTTAATAAACACTTCAATATTTGGATATTTTAAACTAAATTTTTCTAGAATTAAGGGAATCAGTACATTAGAAGATGAAGCACCAAAAGATCCAATTCTTAAAGTGCCAGAATGAAATCCTTGTATATCGGAGATTTCTTGCTTTAGGACATTGGAAATATTCAAAATTTCTTTCACATGCACTAAAAGCCGTATACCCGATTCAGTTAACTCAACTTCATTATGATTGCGATAAAACAATGTGACCGACCAATCTTGTTCTAAGCCTTTAATTGCATGAGAAATCGCAGATTGAGAAATTTGCAAACGCTGTGCTGTAACAGTAAAGCTTTTCTGTTCAGCCAACATGGCAAAAATAGTCAGTTGAGTAAATGTCATCGCCACTCCATCCATGAGTAAAGACTCATTTTACCATGAATAGGCATAAGTCATATTCTTGGTTAAAGTTTACTTGGGTTTAGCTTACAGATGAAAAAATCAGTGGCTGGGACTTGGTCGAATTAGTTTCTGCATAGAGCGTTCAGCATGCTACAAATGATTACTATCCTTTTTCCATCCATCGCCCTAATTGGTTTAGGTTTTTATCTGTTCCAGTCACGTATACTTGATGAAAAATTCTGGAATGGCGCAGAAAAGCTCAATTACTATATTTTATTTCCAGCCTTATTGTTTAACTCTCTTGCAAATGCAGATATGAATATGGGGCATCTCAACAGCATTCTCACGGTCATTTTTTTAATTATGGCCATGATCATTGCTGGCGTTTATCTGTTTGCAAAGTTAAACCGCACACCTATTGCCCAGATCGGTGTATATGTCCAAAGCTTGATTCGTTTTAATACCTATCTCGGACTCTCGATTGCCACGACACTCAATCATGCTGAAATCAAAAGTATCTTGGTAAATATCCTTGCTATAGCAATTCCCTTGGTTAATGTTGTTTCGATACTTTCATTGACTGATAAAGATCAACTGAACATTAAAAATATATTCTGGTCTTTAATCAAAAATCCACTGATCAGCTCTTGTATATTGGGAATTACATTTAATGTTTTAAACATTCCTATTTGGTCTGGCTTTGCAAGTCTGTTAAATGCTTTTTCAAGTAGTAGCCTGATGTTGGGCTTATTATGCGTAGGAACAGCAATTCAGTTTTCGACGCTCAGAGTTTATCTGAAAAAGTCTTTGCTCATTAGCCTACTCAGATTATTGCTGATCCCGCTTATTGCCTTTATCTGTTTGCAGTTTTTTGAGCTAAGTCATGCCGCGGTGATTGCTATCATGATTTTCTTTTCTATCCCAACCGCATCTTCCGCATATATCTTAACCAAACTGTTAAACGGCGATCATCAATTAATGGCAGCAAGCATCAGCATGCAAACACTTTTATCCGTATTCACTTTGGCACTGATCCTTGCACTATTACAGCATTATTATGTTTAATCTATTATATTTTTGATTCGTGTTTGTTCATCAAATATTTTGCTGATTCAATGTAGTTTTGCTTTGTATAGAATAGCTGTGCTGCATGGCAAGGTACAACACAACTCGATTCTCTCCTGCTAGCATCTAAACAATAGAATCAGAGTTTAAAAGCGTATTTATCAAGATTTAGCAAATTCCATCTCAACAAAGTGAAGATGATCAACGCCCCAAAACATTTCATCGCCAATAAACCATGTCGGTGCACCAAAAACACCATGCCCAATGGCTTCTTCTGTCATATTTTTTAGTTGGGCTTTAACCTGTTCATCTGAAAGCCAAGTTTGAACCTGCTCTGTACTAAAACCCAATGATTGAAGCAAGGTAATAAGTTCATTGATATCATTTAAATTACGCGGATGCCCAAACATTGCATCAAATAAAGCGTTTAACACTGTTAAGAATTTTTCAGCTTGATAAAGCTGAACCGCTGTAATCACGCGCATCAGATTTAAAGTATTAATAGGAAAATAGGGATTCATTTGTATTGGAATATTCCAGAGTTTTGACCAACGCCCCATATCGATCATCGAATAACTGGCTTTTGCTGGCACAGCCATTGGACTACTGTTCCCTGTGGCTTTAAAAATGCCGCCAAGCAAGATTGGTTTCCAGATCACTTGTGCTTGATTTTGTTTTGCAATTTTTTGAATCTGATAAAAGCCTAAATAACTATATGGACTACCCAAATCAAAATAAAATTCTACCTGTTTCATTCAGTGTTATTCCTTAACTGTACTGATCGTATTTTTACTGTAAAAATGATTCTAGAAAAAACTTAAATCATCCCTTGTTACTCTCGCTATATCGAGATAAGTCATCTGCCTATATAAACCTAATCATACAAAAAACTTACTAATATAAAGTGACTTACCATTTTTCCATCCAAGGGCGTAAATCTAGCTCATGCGTCCATGCATCACGTGGTTGCTGGGCAAGATGCCAATAATTTTCAGCAATATGTTCAGGATTTAAAATACCATCTTGGTCTTTTTTCTCATAAAGATCAGGAAAACTGTTTTTAATAAAATCTGTATCAATTGCACCATCAACTACCACATGAGCCACATGAATATTCTGTGGACCAAGTTCACGCGCCATACTCTGTGCCAAAGCTCTAAGTGCATGCTTTGCCCCTGCAAATGCTGAAAAATAAGCAGCACCACGTAGACCAGCAGTCGCTCCAGTAAAGATCAATGTCCCGCGTTGTCGGCTTACCATTCGTTTCGCCACTTCACGACCAGTTAAAAAAGCAGAAAAACACGCCATTTCCCATATTTTAAAATATTTACGCGCTGTTTCTTCAAGTATGCTACATGGAACATTGGCACCGATATTAAAAACCAGTACCTCTATTTCGCCAATGTTGCTTTCAATTTCTTCGATCAATTGTATAACTTGCTGTTCTTTTCGAGCATCAGATGCAAAACCATATGCTGTTCCACCTGCCTGTTCAATTTCATCAATCAGTGGTTGTAACTTGTCAGCATTGCGACGGGTCATACAACTAATATATCCCCCTTTGGCAAAACGTTTCGCAATTGCGCCACCTGTTGCATCACCTGCTCCAATAATCAATGCAACTTTCTGATTTGATGTTGTTATTTCATCTTGCATATCATGCTTCCCTTTTTGCATAACGATCGTTATTATAACGATTACTATGTTATAGTTTTACTAGAGCGTCAAGGAAAAATTTGATCGAGGAAAATATGCGATACAAATCTGGCTATAAACAAGAAAAAAGAAAAGAGCTATTAAAAATCAGTGGACAGCTTGCTAAAAAAGATGGTTTTGCTGCAACTGGTGTAGATGGCTTTATGAAAGCTGCTGGTGTGACCAGTGGTGCATTCTATTCACATTTTTCTTCCAAGCAGGATTTGTTTAAAGCATTGGTTGAAAACGAACTCAAAAATAGCATTCAGATGTGGCAAAACAATCCCCATGAGCAGGCTGAGTTATGGATTGAATTTGAACTCAATCGTTACTTAACCCTTTCGCATGTTGAACATCCAGATTATGGTTGTGTATTGCCAACACTCGCTACAGAAGTCGCACGTTCTGATGAGGAGATTAAACAACGCTATCAACAAGAATTACAACGCGGTCATGCCCTATTTACTCAACGCCTCGGGAGTGAAGAAAAAGCTTGGGGCGTCTTATGTCAACTGGTGGGTGCTATACTGATAGCAAGAAGTGTTTCTGATGATTCGGTTAAATTGACCATTTTGGAATCAAGCAAACACTGTATTTATTCTATGTTGCAAATCACAGCATAAATTTAGTTTTCAACCCAATACAATCTAGTATAAATTAGCAATATTCTCGTTAAATCATTATAAAACCATGACTTCCTCCACACACGCTTTGCCGAAGACAATCTATGCCATTCAACACTTAGCATTTGAAGATTTAGGTATTCTTGAAGACACTTTTTATGATTTGGGCTATCGCATACGTTATTTTGAAGCGGGTATGGATGATTTAAAGCAAGCATTTGAATTTGAAGGTCTAGTTATCATTCTAGGTGGCCCAATTGGTGTTTATGAAACTGAAGATTATCCCTTTTTAAATGATGAAATTGCTCATCTTAAACAACGTTTAGCCAAGAATTTACCAACGATTGGCATTTGCTTAGGTGCACAATTGATTGCACATGCTTTAGGCGCAAAGGTTTATGCAGGCCATCAAAAAGAAATTGGCTGGAGTCAATTGAAGCTAAATCTGGCTCAAAATAATCCGTTATTGCCACTCGTTAATACTGAAGTTTTACATTGGCATGGTGATACCTTTGACTTGCCTGTACAGGCTGAATTACTTGCCAGTTCAGCAATTTATACAAATCAGGCGTTTAGAGTCGGGCAAAATATCTTGGCGTTACAATTCCATGTCGAAGTTGCGGCAGATGATATGGAAAAATGGCTGATTGGTCATACTTGTGAATTACGCAAAGCTGGCTTAAATATTCCTCATTTACGAGCTGAAAATGAAAAATATGCAGCAAATCTTGAATTAAAATCACCACTGGTTTTAGAGCATTTTATCAAACACTTAAATGTATAATCTGTTTATCTATATCAGCATGAAATAGACTTTTCTGTTTCGTGCTTTTTATACTTTATTTACACTTCACCCATAAATACGGCTTTACTCGAAATATAATATCAATACTGCATTGCCTATATTTAACTGACTATACCGTTTACATTAAAAAGATATTCTTTATTCTCACACAATATTATTTAATCATACTTAATATTTTATACTAAGCTGTACTCATCATTATTTTTGAGCTACAGGATTATACAGAGTAGATACATTAAAACTTGCTGATTTATTTATACTGCATACTTTAAAACCAAGACTTTGTTTGCAATGAATAAAATATATATTGGCACATCTGTGCTCATGACAACACTTCTTTCTGCCTGTTCTACCCCTGAAGTAAATACTCAAAATGCAAAACCGCTTGGCATGGCCAATCCTGCAAGTGTGTATTGTCAAAAAATGGGTGGCGAGTCTCAGATTAAAAAAGATGCATTAGGAAATGAAGCTGGATATTGCAAGCTTCCAAATGGAACTGTGGTTGATGAATGGAAGTTGTTTAGAAGTGCACAAGGCGATGAACAAGCTGCTGCTAAATAATTTTGAATAATCGCTGCGGAACATAAACAATAGACAAGCCTTCTGGAATGATTGATTCTCTATTGGTATAAATTTTAGACTCATTACTGTATATTCACTACGGTAATGAGTTGCTCCACCCTTTTCATAGTTAAAATAAATTAGATCTAAACATGCACTAAATATAAACAGTATTGTATTTATTTTGGGAATATTGAATAGATGAAAACCTATCAATCTAAACAGGAACTGATTGTTGCAATCAATAATTCATTAAATCAATATTTAACAGAATTTGAAGAAATATCCGAAGACTTAAAAGATCATAAAGTTGCAGCTGTAGATAAAACCCCTGCCCAAAATTTAGCCTATCAATTGGGATGGGTAAATTTATTATTAGAATGGGAAAGCAAAGAACTTGCAGGTTTCCCCATTTCAATGCCGAAAGAAGGCTATAAATGGAATAACTTAGCAAGTCTATATCAAAATTTTTATCAAACCCATGCCCAGCATTCATTAAAAGGAAATACTCAGTTATTGTCTAAACGGGTCAAAGAAGTCACAGACTGGATTGAAAATCTAACAGATGAAGAACTATTTGAAATAAATCAACGTAAATGGGCAACCACACCTGCCAACTGGCCACTGTATAAATGGATTCATATCAACACTGTCGCCCCTTTTACCAATTTTAGAGTTCAAATCAGAAAATGGAAGAAACTCAACATAAATACTGAACAAACTAAATAGCCTTAACAGGTTATCTTTTTCAGATCTAAGTATTGAGTAATGGTGTTATTTAATTCGTCCAAATAATACTGTTTGGGTTTTTCTTGTCCCAAGGATTAGTCTAATTTCATTAAAGTAGGCAGGTATTCTGTTTTATAGACACGCTCATATTCACCACAGAATAATGCTCTATTTACCTCAGTACTGGTATTTTCATCATCCAGTTGCTCATGCATGACTTCAATGGATTTTTCTTTTTTCATCAATACCAAACTATGCGGATTTGGAGTAATGCAACCTATAAGCATAAGCAACAATATCATTGTTATTTTTTTCATAAACTTGCTTCATCGTTCTTAGGTTAAGCTGACCATAAACTATTTATATCTTATATCACCCTCTCAATTTATCGATAACAATTAAAATTTGAGTTTTTCTAAAGTACGTATTAAAATTTTGATTAAGTAACAAAATCAAGATTTGATATAAACAGATCAAATCTAATTAACTAAAAGTGCTGAGTGTTAAAATTCAATCACTCGCAGTTTTATAGATTGTCAGCCCTGAAGGTGTAAAGAATTTAATCCATGCCCCCTAGAAATAAGCCAAACACAAAACAATTGTTATACTCTGCTTGGTCAACAGATCAAGATTGCTTTCTCATTGAAAACAACCATTTAACTGTTGATCAATTGGTTGAAATACTGCCTTACCAGCATGATGAAATTATCGCAAGAAAAAGACAACTTGGACTGCTTAGAAGAGATTTTTACATGAAAAAACTACATGACTTGTAAGCAAAATTACAATACCCCCGCATCAGGCGCGACATAATGAATATATATATTAAATACTTAAATATAGGGCTATGTCATGAACAACAAGTTTAAAATATTAACGCTCGTCGGTGGAATAGCATTACTTAGTGTTGCGGCATTTGCTTATGCAGGAAATGAAAAGATTCAAACCGTTAAAAATGTAGATTTAAAGAGATATCTGGGTACTTGGCATGAAATTGCGCGCAAACCAATGTATTTTCAAAAGAAATGTGATTACAACGTTACTGCTGATTATTCCTTAAATGAAAATGGCTCAATCAAAGTGGATAATCGTTGTTATGATAAAAATGGCAAGCTTCAACAATCGATTGGCGAAGCATCTGTACAAAACGCGCCTACGAACTCCAAATTAAAAGTGAGTTTTTTACCAAAAGTACTTCGTTGGCTGCCTGTAGGACGTGGTGATTATTGGATTTTAAAGCTGGATGAAAATTATCAAGTTGCATTGATCGGTACTCCTAATAAAAAATATTTATGGTTACTCAGTCGATCTCAACAGCTTGATCCAGCCACGACTGAAGAATATTTAAATTATGCTAAAAGCTTAGGCTATGATTTAAGTGATTTAATTGAAACCAAACAAAAATAAAAACTTAAAAGCCCTCTTTTTGAGGGCTTGTTGGATTTAGCTCATTTTATACGATTACGCTACAAATCCTTCTTATCAATATTGTCTACGAAATGAGACACAACTGATGAGCAAGCCCACAATCATCAATGCTCCAGCACACAAAAAGGTAAATTGCATCCCATCAATGATTGCTAAAGCCGTTGCCTGATTGAACTGAATTGTGCCGACACCGAATGAAAAAATAGCTCCCATCACAGAAGCCCCGATAATTAAGCCCATATTACGAGATAAGCTAAGAAGTCCTGATACCACCCCTTGTCGAGCTTTGGGAACATCCGCCAAAGTCATAGTATTGTTGGCCGCCTGAAACAGTTGATAACCTAAAGTCAAAATAATGATAGGGAAGATATAGCCACTTAGACCCATCAATTTCGGTACGATAGCGAGCATAAAGCTACCGATAATCAGAAAAATCAACCCTATAGCGACGATATAGCGACTGCCCCAACGATCGACAAGTCGACCAGATGGAATCCCACTTAAGATAGCAACCACTGGTCCAATTCCCATAATCAAACCCACTTGTATTTGATTCAAGCTTAGACCTAGGCTCAGATAAAAAGGTCCAATGACGAGCGTGGTCATCATAACGGCGGCAACCAACAAATTAACCATTAGGTTTGGCGTTATGTTCTGGTCTGGTTGCCATGAACTTAACGTAGGAATTTGTTTTCTAATGCAATCATTAGGCAACAATACCCAAGCCAGAATAATTGCGATACTCGCAAGTATAAACTGTAATCCAAAAATGCTTTGCCAACCGCTCAAGGCAATCAGAACCCCACCCAACACAGGTCCAAGTGCTGTACCTAAAGCAGATATCGTTCCAAGCATTCCCATTGCTCTTCCCAACTGTGATTTATTGACGGTCTGACGTGTAAGTGCCATTGCAAGTGTCATTAAGAATGCTGCACCTATTCCTTGAAATGATCGTGCAGCAACCAATATCCATAAGCTAGGTGCAACACTACATAGCAATGAAGCCAAACTGAATATAACCAGTCCAACGATCAGCATAGACTTACATCCATATCGATCACCTAAGCGTCCAGCAATCACAACCGTGATCGTCAACGAGATAAGATATCCAATTACAACTGCCTGTACTTGAATAAATGGCAGTAGAAATACCTCAGCAAGTGTGGGTAATGCGATATTGACAATGCTTGTTCCCAACGATGCCAATAAGATGGATAACCCCAAAGTGATAGTGATTCCAGTTTGGGTCTTGTTTGTCAATGTTAATGATTCTGTCTGCTCTGTCATGTTGCGCTCTTGTCAGCAGTGGTGTTTAATCACATACTACTAATTCAAGTTAACTTGAGGTCAAGTATGAAATTTCTTGATATTGGTGAAGTTTCAGCAAAAAGTGGAATTAAACCTTCGGCACTACGCTATTACGAAGAAATCGGTTTGATTTTCTCAATTTCTCGTCATGGATTACGTAGACAATTCTCTTCGGAAGTTCTGTTACGACTCACTTTGATTTCAATGGGGAAGTCGGCGGGCTTTTCGCTTAAAGAGATCGCAGCAATGTTCGATAGTCATGGCGCACTTGATCTTTCCCCAAGTGTTATTCACCAAAAAGCTGATGAGATCGATCTTCAAATTCATAAATTGATCGCACTCCGTGACATACTTCGTCACGTAGGTGACTGCCCTGCACCATCGCATTTGCAATGTCCTAGTTTTAAGCGACTAGTTGAAAAGGCAGCTCAGAAATAAAAGAAATTTTTAAAAGATTTTTGATGAGTATTTGCTGAATAGCTAAATTAGATTGTAGAACAATAATTAAAATTAGCACGCAATGACATTGAACAGTCAAATGGCTTTCTCTAAGATGATAAAACAAGCTTAAATTTTGATGACTTTTATACGTTTGTAGCCTGATCTACGAATATAAATTGTATCTGTTGAAATCGGTATTTTTGATTTATGGATCAAAGCAAATCTAGTGATTCTGGTGTTTTCCTCTGGTTAACATATCACACGCTTAATAAAATGAATTTGGACGCAAATCGGATATTTTCACAAATAAGATTATCTGAACAACCACCTGACAGAACCATTCGGCGAGATAATTCGACCCAACAACGCTTTTGG